GAAGCACTGCTGGCTCCCTGAACACTGAATTGATCATTTAGAGTGAATTTTAGACATGTAACAATTTGGAGGGCTGGGTAAGTGGGCTCTGTTCTGGTTTTGTTTGGCCTTTTTTATTCTCCTTTTCAGAGGTAAAGTTTTCAAAAGCAAGTCTGAAGTATTAACAGTTTTTAAGTATGGTATTAAAAATAACCCAACCATGTCTAGTAAAAACCATATGTCATACAAGGCATTATCTTAACAAGCTCCTTATAGGGACAAGTCGATGTCATATTAGTGCCAACTTTCTTCCATTCATTTACTACATGGGCGTCCCTCCTTAGGCAGGCTCCTTGCACTGGTTCCTAGGCAACTGTAATAATATTGCTGCACGTGTGTGTCAGGCATTGATTGCCTTTGGGGCTTTTTTTGTGTTGCAAGTGAACACAGGCTAGTCCATTTTCATTCTCTTTGTGTTCTGCTAAAGTCTCTGAGAGTTTTGAAAGGTGTGTCTGTGATATTCACAGCTGGGCAGTTCAGAAATACTTGCAGACAGGCACATGTGCATAGCGTGGGATGGTGATCATGCTGGAATCCCTAGGCAAGGCTTACTTCAGCTACTGGGGTTTTTTAATAACCAAGTTACAGGTGGCTTGGTATTTTGGATGCTTGGTGAACATATAGCATCATCTATAAACCATAATGAAAACATAATGAACAATCCCGTTTTGTCTTGGGTTTACTCTGCATGGAGGGAAAGAAAAAAACCTGAAATGTTCTAGTCAGTGAAGGTTCAGCCCTAAATCAATTACTGAAATTCCTTTCAAGGGATTTCTTACTTGAGCAAATGTGTGCAAGGTCTGAGACAGAGGAAGTGGGGTTTTTAAATGTTCTAGGAAGAAGCTGTTCTAATAAACCTTGCCAGTCCCAGCAGCTTAATTCCAACATGGTCACGCTGGTCAGTCTGCCAATATACAGGATTCCTAGGAGACAAAAAGACCTTTCAGATGAGGTCCTGGGCCACCAGTTGATCATCCCTGGTTGATTTTTGTCCGCTTAATGTGGAAGGTCTTTGAGGCCTCTTTGTGTTGCCCCTTGCCTGTTTGCATGCCTCATCTTACCCATAGGCGTCTAAATGGTGGTCCAGTACAGAGGAGAAATACAAGTATAATCAATTGGTTGTGCAGAATCTAGAGTTGCTTGAGCCATAAGCCTGTGAAATACATGTGGGAAGCATAAAAAGAATTTGCCAGAATTTACAATTTACCAAATATTGATATGTAAATGTTTCAAATGCCCAGGCTTAATGGGTGATACTAACATTGGCATTTCCTCAGCATACAGGAATGATTTTATGCTTTTAATGTAGAACGGCTTTTCTTTTGTAACTAGTAATGATAATAATAAGAGCATTATGGTGCCTGTCTGGCTGTGGAGAGCTTTGCCCTTTCTTTCTTACACTTTTCAGTGCAATAGAAATTATTTAGAGGATTGAATAATTCTCTACATTTTGTTACTCTGGTGTTCAAACAAGTAAGACATCCTTGAAACATAAAATACCCCCTATAGTCTTGGTAGAAATTGAGTTGGTCAGGAGGAGAGAAAAGACTGAAGTAGAGAGGAAGGTATTTCAGTTGCCTTCTTAGAAGACTGAAAATTGTATGAAAACAACATGCAGTGTTCACCAATTCTTCAAATAATATTTCAAAAATGGCAAGATGCTGTTAATGTGCAGTATCTCAATATCATTCATTAAAGAAGGAAACATGAAAGGCCTGAACGGCTATGGACTCGTCAGCTTATTATCAGTGGTGAGTAGAAGTCTCACAAAAGATGCTTTGGCCTCTAGCCAGAGAAATCAGGATTCAGAAGTAGTACCTGAATTGTGAATTACCTGTGACAAGAAGAAGGATTAAGGGAAAGATAACATAAGTGTAGTGAAATATTACGTGAGCCTTCTATAGACTACAAAATGTACTTCTTTCTCCAGAGAAATAAACACTTTTTGGAATACACAGGCTTGAAAACAACAGTAAAGAAAAGCTGTGAAACTCACATGTGGAGATAAAATTAATTGTTGGAATTAAATAAGAAGGAGCCTGCTTGTAATATTCTAAGAAGGAATATAATTTTTGTGGGATTTTTGGCATCACTGGAAAATTTCTCACAGTGAGATTAGGAATGGTTAACCAGCTGACATTTCCAGGGTCAGTTAAAACTGACTGTATTTAATCTGATGAAAAGCAAAGCTGTAGATGGCTTGGGGTAGTATAGCTCCATCACTTTAAAGGGTGTAACTTGCCATTTCCACAAAGGCAGAGCAAGATCAGCATTCCCCCCTCCCTGCCCTGGAGACTAAGTTTCTTTAGCAGTGAGGGGATACAAGCACACAGTGAAGGCTGACCCAGGTATCCTTTCTACCTGTCTCTATGGAAAGCAAGAGGCAGCTTTGTTCTCCAGCTCGGAGCACCATTCTTGCAGGCTGTTGTTATCTGCACCCCACTGCTAGGGCTGAGAGTACATCAGGCTTCACTGAGGAAAGCAGATAATAGGTCTTCAGAGCAGCAGTCAGGGGTGAGGGCATCAGAATGGACCAACAGTGCTCATGCTGGCTGCCAGTGCACTGGACTGTGAGACCCAGGGCTGGCTGTTTGGACTGCCTCTGGGAAGTGCCTGACAATGTGGGGTCCTGGTCAGAGCTTCAGCTGTTGCACCAAGTCTGATAAATAACAGTGCAGACATTTCTTCTCTCTTTTTGTTCTGAGCAATATGAGAGAAATTTGTTCTTTTTTCACTAAGCTTATTTCTGAAAAATAAATTAATCATCATTTAAACACCATCAATCTTTGTTTTTAATGCTGATGGCCTTTGATATTCTCTAGTGGGAAGAGTAGGTGTGCTGGCTCCTTTGTCGTCCTGCTCCATCCATTTCAGCAGCAATTTCTGATAAGTTTTATCACCTCCATGTATACTGTGGAGAAATATTGAGCGAGGGTAGGGAGTGGCAATATGAGAACACAAAATTACACTTCTCATCAATCATTACCCTCTAGCAACTTTCAGGGCACTGTAAATTGCTGACTAACAAGGGAAAATTAGCTTGATAAAATCACCATTAGTGTCAGTTCAGAATGCTGTAAAGTTTTAAAGACACTGTTGTCCTTTTTATCTTTCCCTCATCCATTAATGTCTGTTCATGGAGATCCCAATCCAGCAAAGCACGTAAGTACATGTTTAATTGTAGGCAGGTCAGTAATCCCAAGGAAATCACTGGGATATGAGTCCTAAGCATGCGTTTATGTGCTTCACTGGATCAGGGCCATAACACACACTCTCTGAGCACAGATATGATAAATATCTCTGTGTGAGCCAGTTTCTTGATTCAAACCTAGATTTAGACTCACTAACTAGATTTAGAAATATGACAGTCGAGTTTTACTGCAAGAGAGCATGGAAGTTAGTAGATACACAGCATTATACTTAGCCTCTTTAACCTTCGTTTTCTTACTTGTTATTTATCAGTCTATGCTAGCTAGAAATGTGCCTCTGTAACCTCTGCATAGCCTTCTCAAAGTTCTGCACATACTGAAATTTAGACCATGTTTTGAGCCATGCATAAAGCTTAAAGCTGAGCCAGATCAGGAACCAGTTTTTAAAAGTTACAGGCGAGATGAAGATGCAGCTAATACAGCTAACAGGTTGCATTAGTCCATAGGACTTCTCTCAGTATTGTCAGACTGCATGCCAAATAGTACAGTTTGCCTTACGGCTTCTCAGTGTTGGGGGTTTTCTTCATAGCCTTGAAGACAAGAACCTTATTTCTAACAACAACAACAACAAAAGTCCAAATAGAAATACCTTACAAAAAAGCTCAAAGCAAAAAGGCAAAAAACCCACTAAAGATAAAACAAGCACTTGGATTCTCCTATAGTCATTTGACCACAATAGCTGTGAGAAAGGAAAAGTGCACGGCATTTCAAGACTTCCTACAGAATCACCAGGGTGGCCAGAGCCCCTCATTTCTATTTCAAAATTGCTCTAAAGTTTGATGTTTTGTTGCTTTAATTATTTGATTATCCATCTGGAATCTAAGACTTTGTACTTCTGACACTGTCATCTTTTTATTTATTTCATTTGCTTACAAAGCTGTAGCGACTTAACTCATCACTACAGATAGTTATTTGCATTGAAAGCCTGAGAATGTTCAACTGTTTAGTTGTAGCCCACGCCATGATCACCAGATGTTTCATTGCTCCACTGCTATCTGGAACTGGGGCCTGATCTGTTGTGACATTACATCCATTGCATCAGAGTGCCTCAAGAGTAATCCAGTCATCTTGTTTGAGCAGTTGATTTGTTTGGAGTTATAATATCACATTTTAGAATGGAATAGCACAGCTTTGAATGACAGAAGCTATAATTGTGTTGTTCTAGTCCAGTCTGCCACAGGACACAGAGCAGAAGACATTACCCACCTCTGTTTGATCTTTTAACTTCGTGGAGTGACTTCTCCTGCTGTTGAAGTGGACTGTACTTTACTCTTCAGAACAGCTGACCACTGGAACATCAATGAGGAAAACGTCTTATTTTGACTGTTGCAAATGCTGAAATGTATCTTAATGGAAATGAGTATTGTTACTCTTCATTTACAAAACAAAGCAGAAAACTTGTTTGTTTCATAAAACAAAAACTTTATTCTGTGATAGACCTGAATGCTAGTTAATAAGAAGATTAATTATTGATGCTTCTAAAAATTTCTGTCTGTGATGCGGAGTGCTGGGACAGATTCTCAGGAATGGATGCAGGTCAACTTATTCTAGTGGTCCTGAGTAGCTTGACACCAGCAGGGTTGTGGGCAAGCCAGTGTTTTTTACATCTCTGCTCTTTTGAAATGTAGTACTCTTTGAGCTACCAGAACTGTTTGAGGGAATGTCTGCTGCCCACAATCCATGTGAAGTCCATTGCATGCTCTGGTTGGTCCTATTTTGTCATTCAATTTTGACACTAATTTGTGTTTGCAGGTGTGAAAGCTGTGGTGCTGTCTTCCACTCTGAGTGCAAAGTGAAGGCTGTACCATGCCCCAGGTGTGTGCGTAAAGAATTGCAGAAGAAGCAGAAATCTTTCTGGAGGCGACTGAATATGGATGAAAACTTTGAAGAGTCTTGCAACATGTTTGAGTTGTCATATCAGAACACATGAGTTCTTTAAGGCAGTGGCCAGCCTGAAGAGAATCCCTTTCCCAGATGCCAGCTGAAGCAACTTCTCAGCTTAGCCAGGCAGAAATCTGTTGGCAAAATATTATCTGACCTTCTTCATCTGTGAATAGCAGCTGCCAAAGTGGCTGTAAAGCCTTGCTGGCTTTGAAATACCAATGGCTAAACTGCATTTTGAATTGAAGTCCAGCCGCTAGCTCTCATACGAAATGTGGTTTACTTGAAATGCTTTAGGTCTAGCTAATTAAGCACCCAACTTTCTCTTTTCCACTTCCACCTCTGGAGAAGACTTCTTCAAGGCAGAAAATACTAGCTGCCACAACCATACTAATTTTATGTTGTTAATTTAGAATTGATGAGCCATCTACTTATTTATATGTATTATTTATTTATTATTAGCCTTGGCAGAGGTTCTGGTGAGGTGTTTCACAGAAGCCAGTGGGGCAGGAATGATTTTATACCCACCTGCTCTTTCTGATGTGGACATGTGGTTCCATTTTCTCATGTTTCCAGAGAGCTGTTTTTAAAGGATCGGTGCATTTACGTGTCACTCCCTGAGGAAAGAGAAGTATCTCCCATCAAACCTTATTTGGGGTGCTTGACATCATAAGATATGGAATAATTTCTTTAGCTACATTTATATATTTATAGCCATCCCAGTGATCTATTCCATACACAGATAACCAGGGACTTGCTACTTCAGGCTGGGTGTATCAGTTAAGCTCTGTCACAGAAGCCCATTGAGTTTTATGCTGGTTATTCTTGGGCTGCGTGAGACCGTGTCTTCATCTCCAGTAACATGATGTTGGTTCTGACCTCCTGCTAGTCTCATGTTCCAAGACATTTTAAGTGTCCACATTGGTTTTTGGTTTATTTCACGAAGTTTGCTTTATATGTTTCTCTAACCTGAACCTGTTAGACTGATAGTCAGGAAAGTGGTCCTGCCCACAGTAATCAGAAAATACCTCCAAAATTGTGAAACGCTAGTTTATGGTGTTCATGTGCAACTTGTGTCCTGCATTCTCTGCAAGCTCTAAGCAATTTCATACTTCTGTAGTGACTTCCATGGTGAAGAATGAAGTTCCTCGAGGTATGGTTCCGCTCCACACACCTGTAACACAGGGAAGTATTATAAGTAGTAAGTTACATATATTGTAAAAGGGAAATACATGATGGATGTAACTGAGGAGATGTGTCATTACTGACAGTATGTTTAATTCATTGCAGTTTCACTTCCAGCAAGCACTTAGAGATCATCCTCCCTCTAGTACACATTCTTAAATCTTTCTCCAGACTGTGCAATAATATGTGTATTACATACATATGAAAGCATTGACGCACACACATCTGTGTACAGAGAGCAAATATGGTTTCAGGAGAAAGAAGCCAGTTGTATATGTGTTTTTCATCTCCTCTGACATAGGTTTCTGAAAATGGAGAATACTTTGCTTCCTATATAATCTGCAGGCTGTTGTATTCAAAGCAGAAATCAGTCTCATCTTTGAAGCACCTCACTAATTGCTCAAGCATTTTAAATAAAAGAACAGGGTACATCATGCTTACATTAAAAGATAGAATGCTACAATGAATTGTCTTGTACTGGAGTATACGTGATTACATTTTCCAGCCTCCAGTCAAAGAAAGTAGGTGAAGCTGAGCTTTCTCAAATTTGAGTGCAACTACTATGTATATAGAAGCATGTTCATATCTGTATACATTAGACAACCAGTGCCTTTCTTTTTCTGAAGTCCTTCTCTCAGTAGGATTCTTTGGAAGGAAGTAAGGGGTTTTCCATGTTCTTGGCAAAGTATTATAGGGATTCCCATATTTAATAAACCTGGTGAATCGTGCACCTTTGTCACTAAAATTAATACTTCCCCTACACAGTGATGTCTGTCTCAGCTCACTGTTCTTCATGTGAAGTGAGTTGGTTTTGGCTATCATCCTTAAAGATAGAATGTTCCTTGCAAGTCCATTCCTACGTGAAGAATTCCCTGCATGTTCACAAGTGCAAACACTGGGGAAGTATTGTGGAATTAGTCATGCAAACAGGAACTGCAGTGCTACTGGCTGAATAAACAGGACGCTCCCATGTTTTTCAGCATGTGTCACCACAACTAGTCCTGTGGCAAAGCCAGTAGCTCTGAAACTGTCAGAATCTGGCAGGTACTATTTTGAATTAGCTCTAGACATAATGGTGGGTAATCAAAGAAAAGAAAATGGTGCTTTTCATATCATCGTGCTCTGGTATTTAAGACACCTTACAGCACTGGTTCATGTCCAGCGCAGTTTAAAGAAGGCTGCTTATGTGCATTGTCAGAAACCCTATGGAGTCAAGGAATCAAGGTTCAGACATTACAAACTACTAGTTACTTTGACAGATGTCCTGATCTCCAAAGTACCAGTTGTGTGGGAGGTTAGATATTCCAGTTAAATTATGGAATAAGAGCATAGACAGTGTTGGAGTTACTCTGGGTTTGTGCAGGTGTTACAGAAAAGTTTCTTCGCTAATGGAGATTTACAGAAAACAAAAAAAGTATGATGTCAGCAAAACCACTGGAATTAGTTGTGGGTCTGGAACCGCTGCCATTGCTAACAGCAAAGAGCAAAAGCTTGTTGTTACAATATGCTGGGAGCACCCAAAGCTTTACGTAAAAAGATGCTGTACAATACAGATCAGATTCATTTCCTTAAGATTCAGTGGTGTTGGAAACAAGCCAATTCCTAAAACATGTTTATTTCTACTTTGGAAAAGTAATATAGCTTCTTATGCTGGCTATAGGAGCAGACTGTAATATGGAAGATGCTTTCCTCTCAGGGATGACTAGCTTCTACCCAAAAGAAGTTATTCCATATGAATGCATGAGATAAAGTCTTCTGTCACAGTTATGTAAGCATAACAAAAGGCTTGATCCTGCCTCCAAAGGTGCCAATGCAGTAGGAACATGCCCTATTCATTTTTCTGGACTGCAAGACAAAAAAACCCCATTACTAGCTCTCAAAAGACCCAACTCTGAAAGAACAGTTTTCCTGCAAGAGCCATCTCCTAGCAGGAGACTCAGCCCGGGGTTCTGCAGGTGGTTTGGGTTTCAGACAGCACTGTACCCTTGCGTGATTGTCTCTGCTGTACTATTAGTGCTGCATGCTGGTACCCACTGCTAGCTACTCTTTTTTTCCCCTTCTGCAGCCCATAGCCTGCAGATCGCTCTGTTCTGCAGGTTTCTGGGTGGGCATCAGCTGGAAAAGTAGCTGGGGTCTTTCCAGATTGCACAGCTTTCTCCACACACACACACACAGAGATGAAATTATATATTGGTACTTCTGGTCTCATCCTACCCATGCGTGAAATAAATTGGAACAATAGCGTTTCACTGTGAATCAGGATAAAACGTGCTGGTTTATTCCTTCACAGAGAAGGTGCTTTCCTAGCTGTCGGAGGAGAAATTGATCTGTACATCCAGTTACTGCTTTTGCTTCTACAGAACTTGTAATCAGTGTAGAAATAGGGTGCTTCGCTGCAGTCGACTATAGCCTGACCCTCTACAACTACTTAGAAACTTCTCATCTCAGTTTAGTTAGTCTGAAATTATTTGAATCTAGGACACTATAGAGATCCTTATTCAAGTATCTTTTCCTCTAGTGCTCCTTTGATGGGAAGAAGGACCTACCTAGTGGATGCAAACTGCAGCTTCTTTGTATATTAGCAACCTATAAAAAGAGAAACTTTGTTCTCTTATGTAGAAATCTTTCTATTGCCTTTTCTTTGGTCTGTCTTAGGTGATGAAAAATTATGGGTTTGGGATGTGGCACAGTATCCTGGCTGGCACATACCAGTATGAGGTCACTGCTGTGAAGATAGGAATTGGCAGTTCTGAGGGTTTCCTAGGTAAGTGAGAGAAGGTCATTTTTGGTGAGGAACTTGAGTTTTTCACAGTACTCCACAGGCTTTGATGGCCTTTTAGGAGTGAATCTTCAGGGTACCTCTGGTGCTCCTCTTGTCAAGGCTTCTCTTAATACCAGGATTATGTATATTGTAATGGATTGCTGATAATGTCCTGGAAGACTCAGAAAATCAGAGGATGTCTGTTTACAATGAAATGGGGAAGCTGCACAGTAGTATTTTGTGTTTTCCCTGTAGCAACACAAGCCACTGAGTTTCCTGGGCTTCCCAAGGTCATGGCCTGGATTGCAGACTACTCTTGATGTCTATAAAAGAAATATAATTGAATAATCATCATAATCTTTGCTGCTCAGTTGCAAGCCAGTCCCCCCTCTCTCACTGTCTCTGTCCTTGTCTTTGCTCACAGTGCTGAGCCTACAGCTAGACTTTGAGCTTCACAGCTCATTGTGTTGCTTTTGAACCAGTCGAGTCTGATCATTCTCTCCTTCCTAATTTGCCTTCCAATTTTCCCTTCCCAGTAGGAGTGCCTTACAGTATGGTACATTAGTGTCTATCTCCTTGTTTTGGATTTCCTGATTGAATCTGCGGTTCGATTAACTTGTAGACTTTAAATGAAGCTCTCCCGTGGCTGTACATGCTGTTTTGCAGAGGCAGCTGAGTTCTGCCCTCATGAAGTGAGCTCTACAGGCTGCATATACCAGCTCTGAAGATACCACACTGCATGGAAAACCCCTCACTTTTGATCAATTTGGTGCCTTAAATTTTCAAAAGTGAAAAATTTTGTCAGGAATGCTCTGCTATGATGCAGCATGTTTGGAGCTGGAGCTCAAACCCCTTGCTCATGGCAGTTTCCATCTTGTTAGGAGTGGTGACCATAAAATTTGTTTACTATCTATGCTTTGAGAAGGAAATAGATGAAAAGGTAGCATGGAGACAGTGTTGGTTTTTATTACCTGTATTTTGGAGACTAGCTGGGTTTGTCTTCAGCCAGGAATGCAGTTGTGCTTATGCAAGACCTTCGGGAGCAGTGCATGTATAATAATGGCAAACACTGGGCATTAAAATGGGATCAGGCCACATGCAAC